TCTTTTGCTCTGTTTCTCTGCCCTGTTTCTGTCCTTCTCTCACACACTCTCTAACACGGCGGACAGTGGACAAGGAGGTTACACGGAAGAGCAAGGGAAAAAGGAAGCGTTGGGCCTGATCGCAACGAAGGGGGGGGGGGGTGAGGGCGGGAGCAGCAGCCGGTGACTTGCGGAATACCCGTTGACAGGTGGACGATGTACGAAGCAGGCGGCGTACCAGGCGTGAGAGGCAAGTGACGGGGGGGGGAAGGCCAAGCGAAGGATGAGATAGGGATAGAGCCACAGACAGGCAGAGAGAGGGAGCGAGATAGATCAGAGAGTAAAAAGACGCCCTGAGCCGACAGAGAAGTAGCCAGAGCAAGGAGGAGGACGACGAAGCTGAGGATGGAGCTGAAGCTGGCGGTGCAGGGCGAGCAGGCAGGAAAGAGAGGATAGACGTACTGTAGCTGGAGGTACATATACTCCCTTCACTTTAAACAGGCAGAGCCGGGTTCGAGCACGCGCTGGGTAGTTAGGGGAGAAGAAACTCGACCTTGGTCTTCTCTTCTGTCTCTTGTCTCTCTGTCGTTTCGTGCTTGTCCCGTCCCCTTTCGTCTGATGTTGTTCTGCTTTTTGCGTCCGTCGGGTGACCTGGCCTTTTTTTCCTTGTCTCGTCACCCCCTTTGCGAAGAAGATGCCGACGATGACCCACGAGCGAAGTGAGGATGCAAGATGCGAGATGAGAAGAAGCGAAGACAGGAAATGTTCCAAGGTTTGGCCCTTCCTGGGCTTGTTGACGTGCGGGGGAAGGTCGGATGATGTAGAGTGACTTCGCTCGCCCGCAGAATTTGTATGTGGCGAGAAGTCGCTGGACATAGCCTCGCCCCCCGGTAATACCGTCCCAATACTAGGCATAAACAAAGCGCCCCGAGGACTATCGAGGACTATCGAGCGTCGACCACCCACCGCGGCTCGAGAGGGACGGCTGGCAAGAGAGCGCGAGGCCGGCAGAGATGCGGACAGCAGTGTTGATGCTGGCTGGAGGGCCCGCAGCCGTAAACAAGGAGACCGAGATGTTTCCCTGGGACGTCATCGACGGGCCGCTGGGGAAGCTGATGTGCTTCTACCTGGAGCTACTTCCTGCGCCTCCCCCCCCCCGTAGGCTCCGTAGTACTCCGTAACCAAGAGCAGTTACGTAGCGATCTGATGTGCATTTCAAAGTAGCCCAGGCAAGGTACCTGGCTGGCTCCAGCGCACTCTCCGTACAGTGCCCGTTATTTTAGACCAGTACATCTCCGCAAAGTACACCTGTTTGCTGCGCTCGTGCTCCGCCAGGGATTTCACCCCCTGACAGGCCCAGTTGTCCTCCAGCTTGCCTGTTTTCGCGCTTCCTGTTCGCTCGATCGAAGGCAGGACGGAGTACACATACAGAGACTGAACCGCCGCTGCTCGGTTGGACATCTCTGCCAGCCCAGCTTTAGGAATCAACAGCCTCCCTCTCGCGCAACACGGCAGAACACAGGCATCCCGGGAGGGACGAGCAGGTACCTGGCCCCAAAGTCACTCTGGGAGCAGGAAGCCCTCCTGTACACCTTGATTAACTACCCCAGTTTCCGGATGCGCACAAATCGTTCGAGGGCCTCCAGGTAACAGGCCCAGCGCGCTAGTTAATGAGAGAGAGAGAGAGACAGAGAGCGAGAGGGAAGAAACAGCTGTGTCTCTAGAGGCGAGGTTGAAGAAGGGGGGTTGCCCCCTAAAGTGTTTCGTTCCCTTTGAATCTGGTCTGGGATACGATGCAGCCAGCCAAAACAGTCTGTTCTTTTCCTCTCCGTTCTCTCTGTCTTCCCCAGACGTGTGTGTTCTGCTTTGTTCTGCTGACCTCCAAGTCTTCCGTTGACGTTTGATAACCATGGCTCCCCGTCCAGTGTCATCGACAGCCTCACTTCTTCTGTGGTAAGTAATTTCCGACCATGCCGTGCCATTTACAACTCGCATGCTGATGCACTCTGCCTCCCTTTGCTTTTCGCTCGGGGGTTTCGCCTTCGGCTTTGTCCGCGGGTACACATGGAAAGCCCGTCGATATACCCTCCGCAAAAGCGCATATCGTAAGACGTGGTTGCTCTCCGTGTCCCTCCAGATAGACATCCCTTCCTCTCTGTCGGATTGGCCATCCACCCATAGGACGATCTTTCCCGGACGTCTATTCTATATCCCGTCAATTATATATGCTTGCTGGTTGGCATGAAACTGTCCAATAGATTCGATTGCAAAAGCAAGAACGGGAGTAAAGCTGCTGCTTGTCTCGAGATCGAGGCTGTCTCGGCTTGTAAAATGATAGAAGAAACGCGCTCGCCCTAGAATGCCTTATTGTTTTTTCCCGTTTGTTCCATTCGTCAGTATTGGCTTCCTTGATTGCTGTGTTTTGGCCTTCAACCGCCCTGTCCGGGCGGCTGCTGCGCTGTGTACATACACGCGAGGATGGGCCGTCTTGTCTTCCTTTCCATGCCAGTCTACCTGACGTCTGTCAACGTGGCACAGATGGTTAGCATCCTTCCTTGCGTCTTTCTGCAGATCATAGCCAGACTTTACCGCGTTGTAGGACTTCATCGGCCGGGACTTCGCATACCTCCTTGGCCTCGTTTCCATCCAGAGCTTCCCCTCGTCTGAAGGAGTCTTCGACTTCACCTGTGGGCCAACGGGACCCTCGAGGTCGATCAAGTGTCGAGCATTGTTTGGCTGGGTCAGACCAGGTCTTGCTGATCTGCTGCTCCCAGGAACTAGGACCTCGGAAAGGTGTGTGTCCAATATATCTGGACCCTTTTTTTTATCCCCATAACACACAACTGCCTTCCCATTACTTTGATACACCAGACAGAAAGTAACTCGAGGATCGCAACTATACACGGAACACTCCCTAGAGAGTGCTCATACGATGCCGCTCCCACCCACAAGGAGGGTTGACGGCCTGTTCCTTTGAAACTACGTCCAACCTGCCAAGTAGTGCAACAAACACGCAGCTCTTGTTTTTGTAGCACCACGACACTTACTTGTTCATTCTGAATGGCTTCTTTCTCGGTTCATTCTCACTACAGGCCTATTCAGTCGCCATGAATGGAATGGGAACAGGGATACACTTGATACCCGGAATAGTTGGTATCGTTACTACTACCACATACTTATAGCTCAATTTCGGTGTCCAGTGGCAAGCTTGCTCCCTCGCACCCTCTGCCATCTATGCATGCAAGCTCCCTGGATTATTCAAATGTCTTGTATGCAAGCTGAATGTGCTAACGGGCTATAGAATTGGCGGTAATGCTGCAGAGTCTATGGCTTCTCTAAGGGGCTGTGAGATGTGACATCACCAGCCATGTATATAGCGAATCCTCTCCATGGCCCTGCCTCACAGCATTAGTTGGACAGTCGGTTGACATCAATAAGCGGCCGCTTGTTATTTTACAGTGGATATCTTCCGTAATAGATTCCACATAATGAAACAAGAACGGCCCTTTATGACTGCGTGGCATGCAAATGAATGGGGGAAAGAAACACAGCGGGAGACTGGACTACCGCCGCTTAGTTCAGAGAGAACAACCTTTTTAAGACACTATAGCTAGCGAAGCCGCACCTACTGTGCCGCTTGGTCAATGCAGCGAACCATCTGCGTCTTTAGATCACCAACAGGAGTTGAGGCGGTTCCATCATCAAACCCGATTATATCCATTTGGCCTCGTAAGCCTCCGCATCGCCAGCAGTACCCGCGAGCCCTGCGGATGTAAGGAAAATGTGCAAGTCCGCATCGTCATCGCGAGCCGCATTGCATATACCTACCCTTGATCACATTCATCTTCTTCCCCAGGATTTATTTGTAGACAAGACTACTCTGCATACAATTAGGGTCCGATATCACATCAGAAAACGGTAGTTATGGCCATGACGGCTGGGAGTCTATCACCCGTTCTGCGCTGTCACACGGGGATCGAAGCAAACTCCGCTTGACACAAAACGAACCCAAGGGGATCCGAGGAGCCGAACTCCGGGTTTCGAATTGAATGTTTCTCTCATCTTGCTGCCGAAATATATCCATACTCGTTTCTCCATCGCGCTTCGGCAGCCCCTGAGAGACAAACCTGCCAAGCCTGATGCCAAGCCAAGATGATTAAAGATATTATGTAATCAATGAGCCCCTTGAAGCTTTGACCATATGATGACTCATCAGTAGCTTTTTTGGGGTTGTTTGTTTCAGGTGTCCCGTGACCCGCTGACTCAGCTGCTTACCTGCGCTTTTTCTTCTATTTTTGGCGTTCGCGCGTCGTTTCATATAGACAACATCGCAGCGTCAGAAGCAGCAGACGCAGCAGATGAAGCAGATGAAGCAGGTGAAGCGGATTGCTCCATGCAGTCGGCCTGTTGAGTTGGCCAAGAGCTGTTTCAACTGGTTCTCCTGCAACCGTTTAGCCCTGCTCTCTCTTTCCTTTTATTCGATGGGAGGAGATAGAGGGGTGAGGAACGGAGTACGTATCGGCCTGCCGCTGATAAACAGCATCGTCCTCCTGAGATATGATGGTATTATAAGATCGATATTACTAACTTCGGAGCAGGCTAACTAACCGCTCTGAATACCTGCAGACCGCTTTCTTACCGAAAAAAGATATACTGTCTCAAATATACATACGGAGTATGCAAGCAACATATAAAAGCTCAACCAGACTAATTTCTAGTCTTCCTATCAAAACTGCAGTTTCCAGAAAACAAAAGAAAAGAAAAGGAAAAATAAATAAAAAAAAAAAAAACTACCGCTGCTCAAGCTCCATCGGTTTCCATCAAGCGAACTGTTATTATTAACTACGTCAATCTGGCTGAAACTATCCACTCTTTTTGTCCACCTTGGCACATCGAACATGCATATGTATAACTGCTGTACAGTGCTTGCTCAGCCCTGCTGCTTTCTTAACCGACATATCCACGGCGTCAAGTGGTTCATGCTGGCTCCCTGCACTTGTTGGTTCTGGTTCTGAAGCATCACCACGCCGCCATCTGGTCTGTACCCGTGGCAATGCAGCGACATAAACCCATGGCAAATCATGAAACGGGCGTAGATCAGTTG